GTGACTGACTCATCGTCTTCAACAGAGAGTGCATATTCCACTAAGTTTACCTGCTCATAATGCCTTAGAGGTTTGTCTGACCCAAACTTTAGAACTGGTTTGTAGTTCCTCTTTGGCCTAGTGGTATCCAAATACTCCTACTGTTGTGGTTGTAATATATATTTATTTTCCTATTGAACCTCGTCATGATCAAGTTCATCCTCTTCCTCATTACGAGTAATAATAGGATGCTCCACCTGAACATGACTAGAATCTGGTTGGTCTTTAAATTCTATCTCAATTACTTGATTTGATATTTTAACATCACCATCATTAGGCACCATAGATTTTTCATCAATGGTAACATCCCCGCTAATCACAAACTTTAAATCTTCTAAACTCCAAAGGCGATAACATTTGACCCCTTTTGCATATCCTAGAAAGATAGCTTTCTTTCTCTATTATCAAGTTTGTTATCCTTGACGTGATAATAGGTTGTACATCCGAAATTTTTTAGTCTATCATAATTAGCTTGTTCACCGGACCATACATTGTAAGGCGTGTCTCCATCTAAACTAGAAAGAGGGAATCGATTTACTATGAAACAAGATGTAGCAACTGATTGTTCCCACCATTCTCGACCTAACCCAAATTAGAGCGCATGCACCTTGCTTTCTCAAGAAGTGTACGTTTCAATCTTTTTGCGACTCCATTCTGTTGTGGTATGGCAATGCCTTCTTGATCACAAAACTTCTTGAAAGCTCCCTCTATATATTCTATACCATTGTCAGACCTTCAAGTTTTCAACTTTCTACATGTTCTGTTCTCAGCCGTTGCTTTCCAGCACTTGAAAATATCAAATACCTCATTCTCATGCTTAAAAAAGTAAATCCAAGCATACACAAAATGATCATCAACAAATTTAACAAATTACATAGAACCGCCCTTATAAGTAACTTTAGCCGGACCCCAAACATCAGTATGCACATAGTATGACAATCCTCTGATTTTGTGCTTGCTTGTAGAGAACTTCAAGCGATGTGTTTTTGAAGGTAGGAAAACACTGAGAAGGGGGGTTGAATAAGGGTTTTCAAAAACCAATAAGGCAATAAAAATAATAGGTATTTTTATACTGGTTCGTTTGAACTCAAACTACTCCAGTCCACCTGGCCAAGGTGACTTCGCCTCTTTCAAAAGAGGACTTAATCCACTAATCAAAAACTGATTACAATCTTTTCACTAAGACAAACTTGTCTTAGTCTTCTCAAGAATACTGACCACAACTTGGTCTCTCAAGGATCTTTTACAAAGCAATACAAAAAAAGTGTGTTTAAGTGCTTCTTAGAAAAGCTTTTTCACAACAGTGATTTTTACATAAATGAAGATCAATGAATTTTCAGCAAAGTAGTATATTCGTTGTAGAATAATGTTCTCTGATTTTGAATTGATGTTGAAGACTTGTTTAAATACTTCACACCCATTTCTCAAATATCGTGCACATACACAAAAGAGGAATATTCAGAGATATCCTTTTTGTTCTGAAATCCTGTCCCATACACGAAAGAGGAATAGTGCCGTTGGGTGTAGATAATGAGTTTTGCATCAGATCTTTCTTGATCAATATCTTTTTAAATGAACGAATCTAGAAATATTTCCTGTTTCAGATCCTCTGATGATGTTCCATTTTCTTCTTATCAGAGTAACTCACTTTCAGAGTTCTGATGATGTTCCATTTTCTTCTTATCAGAGTAACTCTCTTCCAGAGTTCTGATGATGTTCCATTTTCTTCTTATCAGAGTAACTCTCTTCTAGAGTTCTGCAGCTTAGTGCTAGCGTGATTGTTTTAACAAACTGTTCATCTAGAGGAGCGCTTTAGATCAGAGCAGATCTTCGCTCTTACGTGTTATCCAAATGTATCACTTTGCTACTAACGTTTCAGAGCATTACGTGTTTTGATTCTCAGAACCTCTGTAGTTGCAGCATTGAGTTTAGTACGCTCAGAGTTTTCTGAATCTTTGCTTTATACTCTACGTTAAGAGCCTTATGTAGCTTCACTTTTTACCAAACGTTCAGAGTCTTCTGTGTGTTGTAGCTTAACGTTCAGAGGAATATTTATTAAGTTATCTGAAACAAAAACACTTGAACAGAATTAGAGTATATATTTTCTCCATACAAAATTTCATTATTGTTATCATCAAAATATTGAGATATATTAAGAACCAATCTGTGTTCTAACAGTTTTTCCATACGCACATTGCTCATAAAATTCTATACATGGTTTCTTCATGTTGCTTAACAAACCTTTCCCACTAAGTAGTGATAAACCTTTTTCTAACATATGCCCAAGGCGCATGTGTCATATCCTCATGCATTCTGTTTGATTTTTACTTCCACTGATTCCAACTGCCAAATCTCCTTTGACAGTTTCACATATAAGAGGATAAAGATTCCTATGACGAATTCCCTTATCACTACCAACGAACCAAGTATAACTTTTAAAACTCCATCTTCCATGACTATTTTGCAACCATTTTCCTCTAGTATACCAAAAAAAATAAGTTTTTTTTGCAAATTTGGAACATGTCTCACATTCTTCAGAGTTCTTATTGTCTCATCATGCATCTTGACTCTTATTGTACCATACCCTATAATTTTGAAAGCATGGTTGTTTCCCATTAAAACAGTTCCACCATCTGTACTTTAGTAGGTAGTAAACCACTTCCTATTTGGGCAAATATGGTGTGAGGCTCCTGAATCAAGCATCCACTTACTGGAAATGTCACGGTCTTTCTCTGAGACAGAGAAACAATCTTCCTCATCATTCGAGACATAACTCGCCTCTGATAAATCTTGTTGATTACCTTTGAAGTTATTGTTGTTGTTGGTCTTCTTCTTAAATAATACCCTCTTATTTGGGCAATTTGCTTTAAAGTGTCCAAGCTCACCACATTTAAAGCACGTTCTTTCTACAGGAGCATTAGATTTTGATTTATCCTTCCTTTTCCCACCTTGTCCTCTTTCATTTGTCCTCTATCTAGTAGCAAACAACCCTTGAGCTTGTTTTCTATGTTCTCTTCCACTACTCGACATCCCACTTCTAGCAACCTTTCAAAAATCATCTGCTAAAAGTGATGTTCTTGTCTCATTCATAGTTAGAGTATCACCTACAAGCATTAATGTTTGGACTAAATTTTCATAGGACTCTGGTAATGAAAGTAGTAACATGAGTGTCTGGTCTTCTTCATCAATCTTTACTTTTATATCCTCCAATAGAAAAAATCATTTTTTCCATTAAACTTTTCTATTTCCCAACTTTGACGGTTCCGCTTGTAAAAGCTATTTTTTTCAAAAAATTAAAATTTTACCACTCTAAATTTTGATATTTGTTTTGATACCAATTGTTAAAACAACCACAAATATTTTTGCTTCTAATAATGATATGAAACAACTTCTGACATTTTTTTTTTCCATTAATCAAGGAAGTAACGTAGTATAAATTTTCTAATGATACCGAGAGATGTAAGTATCTAAAGATAAAAAAACTTAATTTATTTTATGAGAAAGCTAACTTTGTTACGCTTTATATTGCATTATTGTGTTGTAACTAACAATCTCATACTTAATTTAAATACTATTCTACATGCTATAAATTCATATGATAAAATTTCAACATAATTATAAGCCTTCAAATTTGTTTCTTTCCTATTATTACTCATTGAATTTCCTATTCATCTAAAATTTGAATATTTCAAATTATGAACTAAGTGGAGAATTGTAAAAATATTTAGTAAAAAGATAAATGTGGAAAAGCAAATTACTCCACTAAATAATAACAGGAAAGAAAAAAATGTAAAGATTTATAATCACATCGAAACTTTGTTCTAGCATTTAGAATAGTATTTAAACTAAACATAAGTTTGTTAGTTACAACACAATACATGCAATCCAAAGTGTAACAGAGTTAAGTTTCTTATACAATAAATTAATTTTTTCATCTTTAAATACTTACATCTCTTCATACCATTAAAAAATTTATACTTCATTAATTCTTTGATTAATTTCAGTGAAAATTATATGTTTCATATCATTATTAAAAGCAAAAATATCGCAGCTCTAACAACATTTGTCATTACAAATATTATTGTTAAAATTAGAATTAGAAATTGTTACCACTGAAAACAAAAACAAAATGAATGAAACTTACTTAATTTTGCAACATATCTAATATAAATTAATTGTAAAAGAATACAAATAAATTGAAAGACTACTTAAAAACTAGAACATGGTTATTGGTGGAATCTTATTTTTGCATTTCAAATTACTCCATCTGCTTTCAATCACACTTTGAAGAAATGTTTGGGTCAAAACCGTTAAATAATCTACCAATTGGACAGAACCCTTTACTATAGTTATTGTAAATTAAACACATTCCAGATATAAATATTTTTGTGAGTTATAGAAATGTTTGGGTCAAAACCATCAAATAATCTACCAATTAAATTATAAAATTGTTGCATGATTCAAAAACGGATGAGTTGTGTGTGCATGGATGCGTCAAGAGATATATCTCTAAAAATCGAAAACATTTTTATATTTTCAATTGATACCTTAGTAATATATAGGGTGATACCTTAGCATTCAATCCATAATCTTCAAATACCCTTTCTATGTTCTCCCAAGAGAAGTAACTATCCCTCAAATTTTTTCCCATCAATATTTGTGGGTCCCATGTTTTATGCAATTAAGTCAACCTGCCTTCACAGGGGAAAATGCCATTTTCCCTGTCTAAGAGTTCGAAATCTTAATCATCCCAATAACTTTCTTCCACTTTCATCAAAATCACCAACGTGATAAGCAATTGCCATATAATAAAAAACCAATTTTGTACTATTTTTTGTCATCAGTCTCTCTCATCCTAACCCTCGTCGGATGATATCAAAAATTATATGTTAGAAACAATCACATACACGATATTTTTAGGCATTTCCATACAGATCCCAGACCTGGTATCTAAATACTCTCTAAGATACCTCATGTCGTTGCATGGATGTTGAACGCTGCAATGTTTTTGCCTTTGTTAAACGGTTTCTAGGTCGGAGAGCAATTGGCCGCCTATAACTCTTTCCACGATAGTAAATAAGAGAAAATCCTTTGGGAAGTCTATCTATTGCTACTAGTATTCCACCACTTTTGTATTCCAGTAAACTAGCCATTTCTTCAACAAAAGCAAGGGTTTTTTCTCTTGTTATTAATTTAACAAGTTCTCGATGCCTCCAATGCAAATGCATATTCTCAACGACACCGTCAAAAACACCGCGTGTACCTACAGGGTATAATAAGCAGCAGTCAGTTTTGCATCATTGCAGTGTAGCGACTCTGGTACGTCTGAAGATTACCCACCAAGTTGTAAGTACACCTTCATTTTTAAACCAATCATACGGAACATTACACGTTCTTCATCTGTGGTTGTTTCCCTCCTATTATCAGGACCAGCTGGAACCATAGATGCATCTATTTTAATTAATAGCTTTTCTGCTCTTGACTTTTTGGCATCAGCCTCTTCATGTATCTAGTGGTGTAAATATGAATAAAACAAATTAAATTAAATGTTCAAAAGAAAACAGAAATCACACACCTTTAGATATTTCTTTCTATACTTTGAATGTGCCGTATTATAAATTTACAGAAGTATATAGAGCTGAAATAAAATACAGCAAGTTGATAGCAGCAAACAATCACACATGTATCACATTCCTACCGGTGCTTGTTTTTATTTTTTCTTTATTTTTCCACTTATTAGACATTTAAGTTCAGTGAAATTAGTCCCTATTGGTTTAAATTAATGCTCCAATGATGTATAAGATGATAAATGTTAATAAGGCTTTTTGCACAAAGTGAACTTCTAAGGCTATATGTGTAAAATGAAGTTACCATATTTTTGAGACTAAAAAACCCAGCCTAATTGATTTGGAAACCTAAATTTCAAGGCTCAGATATAGAAATAGAAATTTAAGACAATAATGACTTCGCAACAGTTCTTCTTGGCATGACACAACAACAATCTGATGGTAATTTGCAGACTAATTATATGAACATAAAAAAACTTTTTCGCCTTTAAAGAAAACTAAATATATTCCAACTAGTATCCTCAATAAAACATAACTAATTTCTCAACCATGATAAACTTCATAAGACAAATAGATAGATACTTACAACAGCTAATTTGTGTTCCATTTTTTTCATAAGCCTAACATTCCTCGCTTCAGGAGCCTCTTTCATCATCTTCTCACATTCTACAGTAGATATTTCCCTTCCCCGGAATACTTGAGCCTCATTGAACTCAGACAACAATCCTGCTTGTGCATTTGTTTCATCTTCGCCTGTTACATCAACAGCTCTGCATCTCACCTTTTTCTGAACATCCTGCACCTGTTTCGTCAATTGCTGTCTTTCAGATAAAATGGCAGCCACATTGGCTGGAATGAAATCCTTCCCTCGATACATTACGATGTAATATTTATTCCTTAGCAGTAAGGTACCTCCTGTTAATTTCTGGACCAGAGAATATAACTTTCATATCAATTAATAGAATTACTGTATTATTCTTTTTTCTTAGAATATTGACTTGGGAACAAAAGAATGCACCATGTTACCAAGGGGGTGCTTAGAAGAACTTATTTAGGCTTATCCTATCTTATGTCACAAATACTTAATCAAATGTTTTGAAGGGCTTATATAAATAGCTCAGAATATGACTGCAAGTTGTTTTTCAGCTTATGTGAAGTTTACATTCCTTCCCACGATATATTACAATGTAATACTTATTCCTTAGCAGTAAATTATCTCCTGTTAATTTCTGGACCAGAGAAAAAACTTTTCAATTCAATAAAACTTCTGCATTATTCTCATTTCTTAGAATATAGTGAGATCATGACAACGGAACAAAAGAATGCACCATTGGACCATGGGGGTGATTGGAAGAACTTATTTAGGCTTATCTATGTCATAAGTGATTATGTACGTGTTTTGAAGGGCCCACAACTCCCATTAAAACAAAATTCTTAACATCTCTAATTATGGACCTGTTTGTTTAATCTTATAATAACACTAATTATAAAATCAGATCAGCCACTAAACATGAACATTTCATACTTCAAAAACCAGCTATGCATCTTTATTATAAAATATTCCAAAGAATCGAATCATCACAAGCACTAGAGGAGGGGGGAAGAAAATCCGAGAAAATAGGGAAAACCTGGACGACTATCTAGCTGTCTGTTTCTGACCCTCGATGCACTAACTCAGGCTGCACTTTCCGGCAGATGACCTTGGATGTATTCATTGTACTATTCATTCTAAAAATCAGTTTCAAATTTTTTTTAAATGAAGCTCTGCTGCCTATTGTACAGTTATGATTCAACAGTCGGTACTTGTCCATAATTTGATGCATTCAGCTATACACACAAAATTCCACAAGCAAATGGCACCAAACAGAGAATTGCAGATAACAAACCTTCAACTCCATAGCCATCAGTTCATTGTTTGTATTTTGGACACCAAGCTTGACAGCAATCTTTGCAACCAAACTTTTCTCCCAAAGCTTAAGAATAGCACATGCTAGACCTTGAAGATTTCTATTTCTCCCTTCATAAAGATCAAGACAAGATTCATATCAGCAAAAAGAAAGACAAATTTAATAAAATAGTTTGGCAGTTGAGTCTTGCTTACCCAAGGCAAAATGACAAGGAAGAGCTTTGGCAAGTTTCAGCATTTTTGCGTGCTCATCATTGGTGAGTCGCGGATGCATTCCGGTGGGAAGAAGCCTAAGAGGTGTTGTGTAACCAGGAACTATAGGGGAAAGCAAATCAGCATCAACAGGAAGTATTCCAGTACCCCACCAATCAACAAAACGAGTACCAAAACCATCAAGCATCCGGTCAAACTCCATCTCCTCGGGCGTCATGTTATCATGCTGTTGTTGATTAAACACAACTGACTTACTCTTTGAATTATGTTTTGCATTGGTTGTTGGCCCTTGATAGTTGTCGCCGCGGTACACCCACATAACACTTCCTGACCTCCATATAACTAATCCTCCGGTTCGACGCTGTATAAATCTACAAGATTTGAGTTGACAAATTCTTCAACACAAAAAAAAGCTATAATCTTACTAGTAGTACCAAGTACCAACACTATAATTCAATACAATAATAAATGTTTATGTGTGCATCATGGTTTTAAATTGCAGTCCCCAGCCGCAATATTGCTGATGCGGTAGTCTCCGCAACCACAATTGCAGTGTGAATTAAAATCATGTGTCAGACCGCCTTTAGAAACCGCATCAAACAATTTCACCCACCCAATATTTTCATCAAAACTCAAAATCTTAAAACTCCAAAACTTATTATGTAATGAAAAATCTTGACATTAACAATGTATTTCCAACACCCCATATTAAAATTCAGGCAACATGTGCATAGCAGCAACCACAATAACCGCAATCGCATCACCGCAACCGTATTGGTATTGAGGACCGCAACCTAAAACCATGGTGTGCAGCATAGCATAAATATTAGTGTAACCAAGTATATGTACTGATGATAAAAAGGAAGGAAGAAAGTGAGGTACCTGAACGATGTTATGCGCAAGGTTCATGTTCTGAACAAGAAACTCATGAAACTTAAGCTTCACCAACTCATTGCTGTTCCACCGATGATGAATTTTATGGAGCACGGGACGCGTGAGACCAGATTTAGGGATACTGATTTTCTCCTTCAGATGCATTCCGATTGTTCGCAATCGACTCAGTTCTTCTTCCGCTAAACACGGTGTTATTACTTGGTTCTTGTTCTTTTTCTTCTTGAATACTTTCTCTTGTTGGCGTTGATGAACTTGGTTCTCCGATGGGAAAACCGCGTCATCGGAGCGAAACCATTCGCGGTGCAAAAATTGATGTGGCGGTAGGGTTTGGGTCGGTTCATCATCGTGATGATGGGAGAGATTGCGAAAGCGGAGAAGGATTCGATCGATTGCATTGGATTGTTTATCGTTGTCGTTGTTGAAATTGGGATTGCGTTGGATTGTGTGGTGGTTAGATTTGGTTGAGAGAGAAGAGAAAGAGTTGAGAATGAAAAGTTTGAATTTGAATTTGGATGGAAAAGTGTGTGGGTTTAGATTCAGTATTGGTGATGTCTTCATTGATAGTAAAAATAATAATGCCAATGACAATTCTTCAAATACAAATGCAAATTACTCCTTTGGTTGTACCTAAAGATTTTTCCAAGGAATTTTTTTGGAAGTTAACTTTCAAAATATTGTTACTCATGACAAAAGAGTATGTATATTTGTAAGAAATGTTAAATATTAGCAGAAACTTGTCAAATTTGTTGTGAATAACTTCAGAGTGCATCCAGAAACTTGTCTAATAAGACTAGTCCAATTTGAACTCCAAACCAAAATTCTATCCATGTGACTAACAAATAGGTGTATCTTTGTTAGGAGATCTCTCATCTCATCTATTGGAATTCATCTAACCTTTCCTCAAAAGTGTTATATTTGTAAAAGACCTAAGAAAGGCGAAGGACTGTAACCCTCAGAGGCCAAGACACACTTGCAAGTTCATCTTCTCTTACTTCACTGACTTTTGCGTTGAAATGTTAGCATAATATATTCATAACCTAATACAACTATAAGATATTCACAGACTAATATAAAATTACTTTAATCGGATAATAAAATATAATGTTATTATTACAATCATCAATGCTTCAATTATACATGTTCTTATATACTACTATTATTATGTGAATTGTGGAGGGTGGCCGGGAGAAGATTTGGATAAACATGTATCAAATCTGTCCATGACTATTCTTACAAGCAAGCTGCATTTTACATTTACAACATAATAAGTCAGATTATAACAATGTTAAATAGTGGTAGAATGCTGATAAGGATCAATTTCCACTTCTTTTGAGGGAAGAAGAAGAAGAATTCATCATCTCTTGGCCCAGTTCATTTATTTTGCTGATAAGAAGCATTTGTTCAGTCTCCAACTGGGCTATATATCCTTCTTGTGTATCCTCTAGAGTTTGTAATTCACTCAAACTTGTAGACAACTCTTCCAGATTTCCATCCTCTATTAAAGACCGGATCTTTTTCGTCATCTCCTTTATCTGATATATATTGTTCAATTTCAACAGTATTTGTGAGAATAAGATCGTGTAATGAAAATGACAATTCTAAATTCTAATAATTCACGCAATAAAAAAAAACTAGTGGAATTGATATGATACAAAAAACAATAAAACTTGTTAGTCTAGCTCAAAATTCTGAATTCAAGACAATCTCACCTGGCTAGGAATCTGGTGTAATTTAGTCAAAGAATTTTCCGAGTCTAGAGATTGTCTGGTTTGCATCTCTGGAACTTTTCTTGTGATTCGGATGTGGATCTCACCGCTTTTCACTCCTTGGAGAGGTATCCACTTGTCAGACATTTGGTTCGGAGGAAGCCTTTGATATTCTACAACACATTCACCTATACTTGATGTGGGTAGGAAATCATTATGGTCTTTCACATGCAGTATCAGGGGACTTCCATCGTCTTGGAACTCTAAGGTCTGGTCCCAACGAGGGTTGAGAGTTTTGTGCACAACCTACCGGATAATAATGTCACAGTAAATTAAACCGTATAGGTGTGAAGTAAATAAGAACAGTTATGTCATGCCAGTATAACACAATTAGCAGATACAATGTGATAGTAATAAAACTTGAAAATCTGAAGGACAATGATTTATCCAAGAGGAAATTCAGATGAAGTTTTCTAACCTTTGTTCTTTTCTTCAAGTTTCCATAGGTTACCCTCACATAAGGATCACTTGTCCCTCTAAGATCAGCAGCAATAAGATCTCTCGCTTCAATAAGAACAAGTTCAATCCAACCATTGGCTGTGGCCGAAGCTGGAGCCTGTGTTCATTTCCAAGGAGTGGGGGGTTTTAGAAGAATTAACATCAATATGCAAGAGTTGAAAATTCAGCTTTTCACATTATTAAAAGAATCATTGTTTTCCTGATAAAGAAACATACCTTTGATCCCTCTTTGCTGTCCACCCTAATTGCTTCAATTTTAAGTCTTAATTCACCCGAACTCACTCCTTCAAGTGGGATCCATACATCCCTTATTGACCCTTCCACGAGTCCTTCCAAATTTACATGTGCACTACCAATGTTTTCGTCTCCAAAAATTTCTTCACTAAAGCATTTCACAATTAGGTACTCATCACCATTCTTCTCATCTACTTCAAAAGTTTCATTCCAGACAGGAGTTGAAGTAGTAGGAGGAGGAGCAATATTTGTTTTCATAACAACCTAAACAGATTACCATAATAGATTCAGGTAAAGTGTTGTTATGAACTTGCATTGCATCAAAGTACATTTCAGATCATTAATATATGGCAAAGCATTAAGACTTAAAAAGTCATACAGACAACCAGTACCTCTCACCTTTCCATACTGCAACTTAATGTAAGGGTCAAATTTTCCAAATCTATCACTCGCCGCTAGATCCTTTGCTTCGACTACAGTTATCTTAAGTTTCCTTCCAGTTTTTGAAAGAAGATTTGATGATCCCTTTAGTGATTTCTGAGGATCGGCGTCGAGGTTGGTCAAGCTATGAGAACCATCAGAGAATTGCCACTCTTTTACTACAATTCTCACCTTTAACTAAAGAAGTGAATAAAGAGTTAAGAAGGATGAAACATTCCATTTACTATCAATTTTATTTTCGTTAGAAAAAGGTATAACTACTTTCATTTTCAAGAGCGAAAATGCTCTGTGAGGACAATTTCATAGTGACTCAATCACAAAAAGTGCGTTAGAATTTAGAACAGAGAATAGAAAACTATGTCTCACAAGTATCTTGAACATTAAAAAAGTGCTTCTAGGAGAAATTGTCCTAGGCATGAAATCATAGCCTTTGTGGTCATACAAAAGAGACATAGAATACTTAATTCATGCAGTGAGATTCTTGTTTCATAGCACTTGAAGAGCGTATGTGTTCTAATCAGAAAAGAATAACGACCTTGTAAGCTTTGGCTAGATGAAAATCAAACACTAGTGTAAGATAACAAAGTTATTTGTTTCAACCCTAAAGCAAAGAAAGCCTGACAGCTGGGCAAATATCGTACCTCAGCTGAGTTGGCCCCCTCAAATGGGACAACCATTTCAACTTCCTCTCCACAAAGTTTAGCATGTTTTGCTATTACACCAGAATCAGGCCCTATTGCCCATACTATTGTTGAATCATCCTCCACGTTCCTCATCTTCTCAGAGACATAAAGAAATAGGTTAGCTTCGAATGTTATATAACTATATATGACAGCCGATTAATAATCTTATTGCTAGCACACAAAAACAAACATCTATGAGGTGACAGTACCTTAACTTCGCAACATGCTAGGTAGTCATACTTGACACTGTTGGGAGGGCACTCGTAAAGATTGAAGCGAACTATTCCTGTATTATCATGTAAAACCATATTAAACGTTGTATCCCATCTTGGAGTTGAACCAGGGCTCACACCTGTTCTCCTTGTCAGCTCCTCTGCTTCTACCTCTATAAATGTCTGTAAGTCCTTGTCACTCAAGTTGTCTTCTAAACAGCTATTGCTTGTGCCATTTTGTTGCCTCCCCTTGAAGGAACTCCTAGAAAGTCTGTTTGCGGAAATCACTGAAACATATATCATGCCACCAACAACATGTTTCCTTAAATCAACTACAGGCAAACTGAAACAGCGGCGCCTAGGCTCCACCATGGTCTTTACCAAAGTGTCTGTAAAAAGTTTAACCTGAATGAAAGGTAACTACTGTTAGCATGAAACATCATATGACACAACATGGAAAAATTCAGAGAGAAAGCTAGCAAAAGGCGCTTGAAACACCTGGGAATGTTCAAAGAATAAATGAGCATATGTTGCAAAATATGAAATTGACACAACTTTTATAGATAACAGTTCCTAATACACTTTTTTCAGATGGCACCAAAAAGTACAGATACCAAATTTATCTCTAAATTTTGACAAATTAGATTCCGTGAAACATACCAGCCAAGGAGAAACACCAGGCAACTCAGTGGCTGATTGGCTACTTCCACTTCCAAAAGCAATTCCTATTCTAACCTCAGGTGTTGATACGAATGAGTACAAAAGTGCTTTTCCATCTAAAATTGGTGTCACAAGAAGCTGCAAATATAATGGTAATGAATAGATTATGAAAAGGACAAGCAGTGCCTCAGAACATAAGAAATGTATGTATATCAACATAATAATTTCCTTCAAATTTGCAGTGTACAGGTAATCGCACTTATAGATGTATATTAAAACTCAACCTAACCTTCTAATTTGTTTATATTTTTGCTACTTCATTTAATATAGATAGCTTTAATGCATGTCAGTGAATCATAAAAGCAAAGGGTGTTATTTCACATACATCACCCTTAATATGAAGACTGTTAATCACAATTCTGGCAGCCCCAACGGAAAGCTTAGCAACCATCAAAATGCTCATCTCACTTGTGTCCCAATCAAAACCCATTTTTAGGACTCGCTGTTAATACCAATAGAATTCTATATTAAAAAAGCATATTAGTCATAGACCTTAAATAAACAAAGCATCTACAAAGTTGTATAGAAATGACATCTGAAATGTGATGCAAAGTAAAACCTGATGACCAGAGGTTGACCATCTAACCCCATGAAGGCCCAAACTGGGAGGGCGTGATCCAAGTGAAAATTCCTGCACCTCAACTCTTTCCTGCAGAAATTATTTCTTTAGGTGCAGTTCAGTACGTAACTTCTAAAGCTTCGGTAAATATCAAAATGAATGTTCAAACTTTTTTTCGCTAAACAAATGTGTAACTCTTCCACATATGAAAATGAGACTTTTGTTACTTACTATAAATCTTGGTTTCCGCAGCTTTAAACGTTTCTGAGACACAAGAAAGACAAAACTGATGAGTTAATTCCCCACTCATGGATTTGGCATGCAAAACTCCAATACACATTGAAGGCATTTTCTCACATATGTGTTAACTTCAAATGTGCAATAAAATTGTAAAATATAATGATGTGGCGATTAAGAAAAGAGAGGGAAACTTCACCTCTACTATGGCTGATAACCTATTTGAGAGCTTAGGATTAAAATAGTT